ATCTTTTACCTCTAGGCTACTCCTTCCCCTGGAAATAAGCTAAATATGCAGGGCTGGGGGTGCAGGGTAAGGAAGCGAATTCTGCTTTCTCTGTATATTACATTTGAAACCATGTAAATAACCTCTTAAATGTCCGACGTCAAGGCAATTATCACATTTGGTTAAATAAATGGATACACCCAATGATTTATCCTTCATACATTTTGCATTGGGAGCTCAATCTGCTTTGGATTGTAATTTTATTGGCATTGGCAATGAGATGAGAACCTATGAAAAAGTTACAGCTCAGGAGTTACACAGAAAGCAATAAAATTCTTAAAGAAAGCAAATTTTTTATCATTTAAAACTTTTGAAAGTCATGTTTCAGTAATGTAGCAGAAAATTGAGTGCCTTTGTAAAACACAAGCAAACAAAAACCTTCCCAGTGATACCGTGCACAGCCCTGATGTGTGTGTGTATAAATTAGATTTTTTTGTTTGTCTGGACTTTTTTCACCGCTTTTTTTAAGAGGAGAGGTCCAAATGCTTTGACTTCAGGGAACAGGCAGAGTGATCAATACATCACTGACAATTCACTGCAGCACTGGTAGGCTAAGTAATAAAGCTGTCACATGCTTTCAAATGGTCAAGTCTGTCCCGGAGACAAGAACTGTGCCCCCTCTTCTTTTCGGTGGAGACCTTCATAAAATGCCAGACCTGGGCCTGGCATGGTGGCTCACACCTGTAATCCCAGCACTTTGGGAGCCTGTGTGGGGTGGATCACATGAGGCCAGGAGTTTGAGACTAGCCTATGCAACATGGTGAAACCCCATCTCTACTAAAAATACAAAAAATCAGCCAGACATGGTGGCACATGCTTGTAATCCCAGCTACTTGGGAGACTGAAGCAGGAGAATTGCTTGAACCCAGGTGGTAGAGGTTGCAGTGAGTGAGATCGTGCCACCACACTCCAGCCTGTGTGATGGGTGACAGAGTGAGACCCTGTCTCAAGAAAAAGAAAATAAAACAAAATACCAGACCAGATTGCAAAAGCAAGTTATTCCCAAATCATGATTACATTGTAGAATTTATGCTTTCTGACAGAATTGAGGACATTCTTGTAAACACTATGCTAGCACTCTTAATTATGAATATATCTCAACTGGAAAATCAAGGCTGCAACTCTTGCCTGCCATGTTCCGGAGAGGACCACACCAAAGGCAACATCCCAGGCAGCCCAAAGGATTGAGGATGGGGCAGTGTCCCTGACATTGCCTCCAATTCCTAACAAACTGGCTTCTTGTTACCTTCAGTTAAGTGTAACTAAATTAAAGTAACCCAGCCTCAATATAGATGTCAGACCCAAAAATCATTTTTTCAAGGATTTTTATGGAAAACCATGTGCTTTTCAATGAGCACAGAATTATCAGTGTGTGAGGGAAATCCAACCCATGAGTTTGTATTGAGTTTGATTTTCCAAGTTTCCTGCCTAAGAGCTTGACCCCATGAGCAAGAAATTGGGCGCAGAGCCATAGCAATAATTACCACCATTAGCTGGACGCCAGCCTCTCCTTCAGCCCCTGCTCTGGACGTTAACTTCGGTTCTCGCAGAGCCTTTGCACTTTTGGAATAGATCTGAGAGGCTGCAGCGCTCCAGACTGCCAGCTGTCCCTGGACGCTCAGCATTTCAGCATCTACAAATTGCTTTACCCCTTCAAAGCAAGGACTCACTCTGGGCTCAGGTCCTGATGCCATGCAGAGTATGCTGGGTGACCAGAGTCACACAAAGACGAACATGGAAAAGTATGTGCACACTACAGGGACAGGTCCCCAGGCCCAGGCAGGGATAAACTGAAGCGGGGGGCCCATGGGCACTGGCAGGAAACCCTGATGGAGGGAGAAGAAAGCGCCATGGCAAAGGCTCCGATCTGCCCAGGGGTCCGGTGTGTGGTGGACAGGGCTGGGACACAGGACACATGAGGGGTGTTTAGAAAAAAAGCATGAGGAGGATGGCGAGGTGCCGCCTGGGAGCAGAACATTACTAGGGCGGGTGAACAGTGTGAAGTGCGCACTGGGGCCATGTCCCTTTCAAAGAGTACAATAGAGAACAGAATTGATGTTTAAGAACTAAATAGAAACTGTCACCAGGCACAGAGGTAGGGTAGGAGTGGGGCCTCACAGTGAGGGACTCGGAGATCCCCAAGAGGGCAGTGGTGGAGAAAGCAGACGACAGGGGCCATTTGGAACAGATGTCAGGGACAGCAACAGCAAGTGTGTGAATGAGGGGTGCAGGGAGCATGCAGCCCAGAGACCTAACTCCCACCTCCTCGCTCTCCACAGTTCCTGTCTTTTAACACCTCTGTTTTAATTATGAATATATCTTATTGAGAAAATTGAGGCTGCAATATCCTCATTTCCCTTCAAACTCATATTTCTAAACCACAAGGTAATGAACCATATAAGCTGGAGAATCAGCTTCGTTTCTTGGCATTTTTTTTTTAGATGGAGTCTCACACTTTTGCCCAGGCTGGAGTGCAATGGCACAATCTCTACTCACTGCAACCTCAGCCTTTCGGGTTCAGGTGATTCTCCTGCCTCAGCCTCCCAAGTAGCTGAGATCACAGGTGCCTGCCACCACACCCAGCTAATTTTTTGTATTTTTAATAGATGAGGTTTACTATATTGGCCAGGCTGGTCTTGAACTCCTGACCTCGTGATCCACCCATCTAACGGGATTGATGGGATTACAGGAATGAGCCTCCTGGACTCTTGGCATTCTTATAGCTTCATTCTCTCCTAGTCCCACCAGCCCCCACTCTGCGGAATCAGCTTCCTGCTTCATCCCAGTGCATGGGAGGAACTGTGGAGTCCCATTACTTTGTTGCAGTAGCAATCCCTGCATCTTAGAGCATTGACCCCCAGGGCGGGGGCACGTTGATAGAGTGCCTTCGTGCTCCAAGACACAGGGCATTCTGTTTCCTGTAGACCATAGCGGTTTTCCAAACCTTTGTTTTGTTGCTAAAGCCCATAACTCTCTCCTTCGAGTTCCCATTCTGATTTCCTGCTTGGCTTATTGTCATAATGAAAAACCCAACAATCAGGTTTCAACCTGCTTCTTTCAGTCAGTAAATTTACCTGTGTCTGCCCTCACCTGGCTTCCCTAAACTAATAAGCCTCACTCCGCCCTCCTCCCATCCCAAAGGCATTTGTTCCTTTCTATGCCCCACTCACTCTGCAGCCTATATCGTCTGCCCTCTTCAGTTTCTGCCAGGATATGCATTGTTCCTTCAAGTTTACCTTTTGTTGTTCTTAAATTTCTCCCATTTGCTTCCCCCTATTTAAAAACACTTAATGGTAATTATATTATGATTATAATTTCTTCTATTTACTGAGCACATTGTTTTCACAACAACCCTATGATACATATTCTATTGTCCCATTAAATATATAAAGAGAAATGGAGTCACAGACAAGTCTCACACACACACACACACACACACACACACACACACACAGCTAACAAGTGACAGAACCAGAATGTGAACTTGGACAGAAAAAACTCAAATATCCGTCAACTTAGCAACTACATGATGGTACTACTCAGAACGTTCTGTTCCTTTATGAAAAAGGAAGCCAGCTTCCCCGGGGCCATGCCCTTCCCCAATCTACCCTTTATCTTTAAGGTATCTGTACTCTTCATATTACTTCCAAATTCCCCAAAATGAGTTCCCATTCACTACTTCTGTTTTCTTATTGCATGTGTGGCATGCAGACTTTTGCAAACGTCCGCAGAACTGGCTTTCTGTAGTTCTACTGTGATCTCAAAATTGTCAATCCAAAAACATTTTTTAATCTAAAGGAGTCTTTCCCTCTGACCCCTGTGTTGCTATTTGCCTCTGCTTCTCAGAAGACACCTGCTTACCTGCTGCCTTGCGACGCAAGCTTCCTTCAGTGTGTGTATCTGATAGCTGATCATGTTCTGAACTCCTGGGTGGCAAAACGTTTTACATCTCTGAGTTCTACACCATGCACCTGGTCTGTAGCACATTTCCAACACATGCCCATCAGCTCTAACTGGGATGTACTTGGAATTGTCTCTCAGTGGCTCCCCAACTTATTACGCATGCAGCAGAAACAGATTGCTTTAAACTGCACATTTTCTTTTTCTTTTCAACATTGCTTCAGCCCTCTGTGCCTAGAGCCCCTGGTTCACAAGCGTTTTTAATTGGAATGTGTGCAGAGCTAAAGCCATGAAAGACACCCAAAGGCAGAAGAATCTTGATCGTTTTTGTCCCAAGTCATTCTAAGCAAGTGAGAACCCCAATACCACACCACTAAGCAAATCTTCCCGAGGAAAGGGAAGGACCTTCAACGCACACCATAGACTGTGTTTTGCAAGGGAAATTTTGTTTTGCAACTTCCTGCTGTACCCCTTAATTTGTTCAAAATTGGGATTCATTCACGAAGGTGTGAAAGACATGGTGAGAAGGAATACAACGATAGGTCCCCAGGATTCATTTTTCCAAGGAGCAAATAAGCACTGGCCAAGAGTTATACACAGTAACTCTACAAAATTGAGATTTCCCATGACCAGTAAAAACTTCTTTCTCTGGGTGGGCACAGTGGCTCACACCTGTAATCCCAGCACTTTGGGAGGCCAAGGTGGGTGGATCACGAGGTCAAGAGATTGAAAGCATCCTGAACGACATGGTGAAACCCCATCTCTACTAAAAATACAAAAATTAGCTGGGTATGGTGTGCGCCCCTATAGTCCCAGCTACTCAGCAAGGTGAGACAGAAGAATCACTTGAACCCAGGAGGTAGAGGCTGCAGTGAGCTGAGATCGCACCACTGCACTCCAGCCTGGTGACAGAGCAAGATTGCATTTAAAAAAAAAAAAAAATTCTTTCTCTGTGCCAAATGTGGGGATGGGATGTCTTCAGGGACCACCTTTGGCTGTGTAGGTTTCAATCTGCTCCAGAGCACATCTCTAACCTGCCTGTGGGTTTTTGGTCCTTACAGCTCCTGACGGTCCACCTCAGGAAGTTCACCTGGAGCCTATATCATCTCAGAGCATCAGGGTCACATGGAAGGTAAACCCACAAACACTTGTTTTCCCGGTGCTTTTCCCATGGGGTGAGCCCTTCACTCACGCTCAGTGTTATGACGCCAAGACTCAAATTTTACGAAACTTTTTTCAAAATTAAATTGAAAGCGCTTTTCTTAAAATGCAGTGTTTGTATCCACATTTTGAATACTTTTACAGCAAATTCTGTATCTCAGAGAGATAAAGTGGTTGTCTTTTTTTTCCTTGACTCTTGATCAAAGTCCCAAAGTGGTCTCTACAGAAATAGTGGAACTGATGTCCCTGACCGCATGCTCTCATTTCATCCTAGCAAAAATGTTTTCAAACTGCTTTCTTTTCATAGCAAAGCATGAGGTGGCAGACAGTCCTCTGAGGTGGCAGAAGTAAGTCCATGTCCTCTCTGTCCCACTAACTAGATGTGTTCTCAAGAAAGCTCCTTAATTTCCTTGCCAGAAAAGTGAACTGTTCAGTCAACTGACTCCCAGGCCAGTGCCACCCCAGGCGTGGCCCATAGCGGCAGAGTGGCTGCTGGTTCCTTTCGTGTTGGTTGTCAGTGGCTGGGAGAGAAAGCAAGCTTGGGCCACACTGTAAATGACTACATCACGGGGCGCATTGGTTCATTCAACTGCCATGGCTTCCATACAAACTTCCTCAAGGCAGAAAGCAGCATTGATTCTGGCGCAAGCGCCTCACCAACCACCCGCCTCCCATGACCTTCAAGTCAGTAGCGTGGCCCTGACCTAGTGAGCCATGGCGTTAGTCGTCCTTCCAGATGTGCTCTTGGAGATGACTGCGTTAGGACAAATTCCGTTTCATCCAGAATGTTGTATCGAATCAAAAGTTCCGTAAGATTGCATTAACTATCCCAGCTCTGAATTTCTCATTGCATGTAATTTTTTATCTTATCTCTTTCCTCATCCTGTTTTTGCTGGTGTCACTTGGAGAAGAGGGAAACCAGCCACCGCAATGAGGTCTTCACATCACACACTTCTTCTAACCCTTGCGTCTGTTTGTTTGCTTGTTTGTTGTTTGTTTTCATTCCAGTGTAAATTCTTCTGTAAAATGACCAGCCTCTGTAAGGAAAATGGATTTTTATTGTCAGGGTGGTTACCTCCTTGGGTATTACACGCGTTAATACAGCGAGCCCCTTGTGTCAGCTTTTCTCAACTGCAGCCAATGAGTTGTGTTTCCAGCAGGCAGCGTGATATGACTGCTTAGCTGCACAGATAGTGCAGGCCGAGGAGTGTGGGAGGCGGCATCATTGGTCTTTGTGAGCACATCCGCCACCTGCGAGCATCACACACATTGTGGAATAAAGACACTCAGCAAGCCAGAACCCCACACGCATTCCCGCCATTCTACAGATGGAATGCTGACTCACTCTCTCTTGAATGGAAGACTGTGAAGTTTCACCCACTAGCTTTACACATTCTCTTGCATTTTGCCCTGAAAAAGACCAGGTATTACTGTGGCCTCAAAAGCTTTTTGGGTCTTTTGGGTCCTGCATGAGAGAGGTGTCTGTCCACAGAGGATCTAGCTCTTATAACTAAAAATGGAAACTTCTGCGGCTTTAAAAGGCATTGTATCCTTTCTCTCCCTGTAGAAAGCAGCCACAGAAGTCAGTGCATTGCAGTTAAATTTCTTTTTAGTGCCTAAGGATGAACGTGTTGTGGGATTACTAAAAGGAAGGCTGGCTTTCATTAGATTGTGAGTCGACTGTAATATATTGTTCACAGAGGAGTGCGATCTATCTCTGTAGCGGGCCTTTGTGGCATGGCCTGTCAGCAGGCGGACTTGCCGGTGATCTAACTGACTAATGAGGTGGGGGCTGCCCTGTCACCGGCTTATCATTTCACACTGGCCTGTTTATGTAATGAGCTTTTTTAAAGCACGTCACTGATTCAATTGAATTGGACGCTGTTAGACGAAATCTAAAGTATGTGTAAAGGACAGTATGTCACCTACAACATGCCTTTATTTATGGCATAAAATTCAGAATATATGTTTTGTGTAAGGAGAAGGAAAGAAGGAGAAATAGCATTAGCCCCCAAGAGGCAGCCCTGCATCTGTCAGCCGGGGTAGACATATGCAGTCGTGGGCAGCCTAAGGCGAAAGCTCGTTCATGGTCAGGGTTGCTGATCAGAAGTAAAAGATGCATTCAGCAGAGAGACATAGGGTCAAGGAGAAAATAGCTCTGGGGTTTTGGAGGGAAAATAGCCATTTCGACTCTCAGCCTTTTAAAGGTGAGGGGCGCTTCGGTGCTCTTTTTCTAACTCTGGAGATAGATATTGTGTTTATTTAACTATCACTGAACCAGTCTGCTTCTGTAACAACACCCTCTATTGATCAAAATCAGCAACTTTCCCTTTCTATTTTATTATTTTATTTTATTTGCTTATTTTATTTATTTATTTTGAGAGAGAGTCTCTCCATCGCCCAGGCTAGAGTGCAGTGGCATGATCTTTGCTCACTGCAACCTCTATCTCCTGGGTTTAAGCAATTCTCCTGCCTCAGCCTCCCAAGTAGCTGGGATTACAGGCATGTGCCACCATGCACAGCTAAGTTTTTTGTATTTTTAGTAGACATGGGGGTTTCACCATGTTGGCCAAGCTGGTCTCTAACTCCTAACCCCAAGTGATCCACCCACCTCCCAAAGTGCAGGGATTACAGGTGTGAGCCACAGCACCTGGCACCCTTTTAATTTTTGTTATTTCTTTCACCAAAGAAGGGCTTCTGATTTTAAAATCTTTCATGTCCAGCAAAGGTTGCAGCTGCAGCCCCCAGATCCAGGCCGCTTGCCTTGCCCCACCTTCCCCGGGATACTTGTCCATGCAGCAGTCCACAAGTGTCATCGTCCTTCCTGTCAGTGTTTACATGGTTTGTAACATGCCCACCTGTCCTGTCCAGTCCTCATTTGAGGCTCAAGTCGTACATGACTGGCCCCCATGAAGATGGGACTCTCCAAAGTGCAATTACAGTTTCACCCTCTGTGATACCCGTTGCTCTCGGTGACAGCTCAGGGAGGTTGCCACCCCGCGGCTTCTGCAGTCTGTTTCATGTGCATCCCCTCCACTGTTCAGGAATCCTTTGGTTTTTCAGAAAATTCCCATTTTTAATGTATCTCCTAAAGTGTCTCTTTTAGCAGTGCCTGTCACCTTCTCTCCTAATCAGTCTTGGAATCAGTTAACCCTCCTTTTACGCAAATTAAGGACAATTTGATTGCCAGCTACTGTGTTCATGCTTGCGTATGTGTATATGTGTGTACACGTGTGTGTGTGTGTACACGTGTGTGTGTGCGTACGTGTGTGTGTGTGTGTGTTTGCCATGGTCACTTGTAAAATAAAACATACTTTATTTAGAATATTTAATTTCTACATACATCTCAAAACATTTACCCAGAGTATACAATTTAAGACAGAGACATTTTCCTATTGATATAAAATTTGTTGTTTTATTTTTGCATTAAACGAGAAATCTTTCCAGAACCACAAACTGTCCCCAAAATTTGAAATTGTCAGTTGCTTCAATATTCCTGAGCTGAGAACAATTATCAAAGCGATGAGTTGCAGTGGAAATCCTGGGAGTGACGTTGACACTCTCCTGGCCCTCAGTATCACACCAGCTTGCTGAAAATTTTACTTAGAATGAGCGAAATTCTCATTTAGAATTAAGAAAGAGAGGTATGATTTCTGTAAAACATTAAAGTTGAATATTTAGAGATGATATTTCAGTAATCTGAAGAGTATTTTTTTAACTAGAGTATCACATCTCTGCTATCCCCAGTAATTCCACCTAATTGAGTCATCATTACAACCTATTAAGTTTCAGAGTTGAGCTCTTACAACAGGAAAATGGCTCATCTGTCATCTAAAAACAAAAGTGCCGTTATGTCCAGTGACCTCCACGGTAACAGTTCAGCAAACTGCAGGCTGCACGTGCCTTCTGCACTTACATCCCTCTACCTCCAGGAAGTAGCAAGGCACCTTGGAAAAAGCAGCCTAGAGGCACCTTCTAGCACTAGGATTTCTTGGCCAGGGGTTCCTGGGACAGCTGTCCTTCCGAATATTTGCTCCCTGCCAGGCCCTATGCTAAACTTTTGCATGCATTATCTCATTTGATCTGTGAGCTGGGAACACCCAGTTTTGTGCAGAGGGAGATCATGAAGACAGAGGACCTTGGCCAAGTTCTGAAGGCTGGTGACTAAGAGGTTAAGGACTTCCGCCCAGGCTGCCCTGTTCTGCCTCCTGGGTTTCTGAGTAATCAACAAGTTCATGACTATGAAGTGCCAAGATTGTGGTTCATGCCTAATAATGCTCAATAAGTATTAATTCCCCTTACTATTCCTTCCAAACTCACGTTATAAATCACACCCAACCCCGTAAAAATTAGAAGAGACATATGAAATTTGCATTCTTACCTACTATCTTTTTCTTTCCAAATTGTAAACTTAACCTTCAAGTAACTTCAGTAGTGAGGAGTTGCCATTTTTTTTTACATCAATTGAAATTCAAAAGCGTTGCCTTGAAATAAACTCTAATGCAATACATTAGAAGGCAAGAATTGTATTTTGCCTTGATTTAAAGAGCGTATCATCAGAAATGCAAATAAAGTTGCACCCAAAGGGGTATTTTGCACAGCTACTGACACCCGTCCCGAGGCCTTTCCTTAGCACATCAGCATTACGTTTTACAATCAGACCAGGTCCTGAAGTTGGGACACTAGGTCAAAAATTGCATATGGTCAGAATTATATTTAAAGACTTAAATTGTCTAATAAGCACACTATGCATAATATTCCCTATTAAGTGTTACAGTAACATATATGTATAAAATGTAATATTCACAGTGAAAACTGAACAGTACATGTAAAACTATAAATTGATATTATTTTCTCATATTATATGTAAATTAGCATTAGCATAAATTAAATCCATTTCCAACAACTAAATTATCTATAACTAGAATACAGTATAAAAAGTACTGGATTAAATTTCAGAAAATTAGATAC